TCTTGTCATCACCTGCATACACTTAATACAGCTGTATCAAGCATCATTATTTATGCTAATTGCTTAAGCTTGTATCACGTGATGCTAAACGCTCTTTAATTATGATAATTTCATAAAATTATGTAAATTTGTCCTGAAAAGTTGGCAGTGAATAATCAATAATAACAGTCCACCCATATGATTCTTTTGAAAACTTGAGCTAGAAACTGCTTGCTTGGCCTAACCAATGCTTACATATCTCCAAGTGCTTTCACCCTATTGTTTTGCTTCTCTAAATCAGCTGTCTTTAATCAGAATGACAAAAACTAAAACGGTCCACTTTTACTCTTAGGTAAAGCTGAAGTAAAAATTTCAGACTGATAACTCATGTGACTTTTTGGGTAGGTGTGCACAAAAAAGTCTGGTCAAAATTGAGCAGTTTTTGTTAAATAACTTTATACAGGTGGTTATATTTAGACCAAATTTGACACCTAAGTGTAGGTTGTAAAAATCTATCAGTATACCAAATTTGAAAAAAATCCATGAAAGCTAAGTAAGTTTTTCTATCAGATAAAGAGGAGAAGGAAGAAATTTAATCAAAATTAGAGATTTTATATCTTATGTATTTCATAATCGATTGCCTTGAAACTTGGTATGTGAAATAAGGATCCAGTAGAGCACTTTCACTAAAAATCTGTGATAGTTTGGATTACCACAGTCCGAGCTACAGAAAGTGGAAAATTGCTAAACTATTACTCCTGTTAATAACATACAGTGTGTCCTGCAGGTCAATTTGGCCACACAATGTACTACGTACATCTTGATTAATAGGTAAGTTTACAACAACTTTATAAAAACAGTTGAATAATAAAAACGTTTTACTAATTTTGATGAAATATTAGTTTCTGTATATTAATTATACAATACAGACAACATTGTGGAAGGAAGACGACGACGTACTCCATCTTCATCTGGCACTTCTCCAGGTGGAACAAAGTTACCAGAGGGCAAAAGAAAACGATGTAAAAATCTTGATCCCAACCTTCAAAGTACTGCTACTGATACAGCAGAGGATAGTTTTTCTGAAGCACTGGCTAAACAGTCACCAATATTCAAAAAGATATCTGGAAAATCTCCAGCTCGATCTAGCCCTCATAGCAGGAAAGCTAAAAGTACTGGGTCTACACCTTCTGGAAGAAATATAAGAAAAGGAACACCTCTTGCTAAGCAAGACAAATCTAGTGAGACTTCTGAAACTGAAATAACTCCATTTAGTCATACCCCACAACAAAGAAGACCTAGATCTCATTATGGAGAGGGTAAGAAAATGCAATATTTTACTTTCCATTTAAATTTAAACTAAGCTGGGTAATCTCAAACATTTTAAAAATGAGAGTATAAAGAAAGTTAAAATCTATTTTTTGATATCTAAACATTAAAATTATTTTTTATTGCAGTTCCCTATTCTTGACTTCTCTAGGCTCAAGGACTAAAACTTGGCAAAACTGTAGTTTTCTGTTGAATATGATACATTAAATTAAGGTTCATATCCAATTAGATAAGGCAAGATCTATCTGTTATAGTGTGTCACGTCAGAAAAGGACTTGTAAGTTGTTCCATAAGACTCATCAGGTTCTGTTTTGAAATGATGAGTGGCACCATCTATCATACTGTCAATTTTCTCTGTCCAACAAGAAAAAGCCGTGGGCCTACTGATGCCAAATAAAATAAAGGAAATATCACATATAGCTTTTGCATGTATTTATCTAATCCACGGACATGTGAAAATGAAGTTTACTACAAACACACATTTGATTTGTGTGCACATATAGCTAAATTTGTTCTCTATTGAAAATTTAAATCAGTTTTCTTAGCTTCTTCAATAAATCTCCTAATATAAAAATTAAACCCATAATACTATGTATAATTTTGTACTGTGCAGTAAGTTTCACATTCTTTGAAATTTCCACTGGTTAAATCTTCAGCTTGTCTAGACATTTGCTTGGGAGTGAATGAATTTTCAAAACTATTTAAAATGCAGTTTATCCTTTTAGTTTTAAAATAGTTTAAGTAGTGTAATTGTAGGAGTGGGGGATACTTATAAAGATGTAAATATTAATCCTTTGTTCTGGCTCATTTGCTGAAAGTAGGCCTTTTAAAAACACGATTTATCTTAAGTTGAAAATGTGTGTGTTTAAGTTTGAACATATATTGTAGATTTATCTGATCTTATGTAATAGAAGCCAGACTCGGTAGTAAGTTAACTTAATTTTTTTTTTCTGGTGGGATATTAAATGTATAATATATTTATTAGCTCTTGTGCTCTTTCAAAGCTAACTTACATTCACTTCCTTGCCAACAGCAGTATCTTTTTGTTGCCTATTATACATTTTTACCATAATGTAGAAACTAGAGCCAACTAGTTTATTTTTTTAATAGTTATAGGCATTTGTTTGTGCTTCAACTTAGCAGATTAATAGTTATATAAAATGCTAGTTATCCATATGTAAGGTCTTTTTCAGATATAGGCATTTTTGTCATTTTATGGATCATAGTTCAATCTAGTGGTATCAGCATGGCTTTACTTCTGATGGTCTCTTTCTGTCTTTCAAAACTAATTCATGATTCAAGTTTAAAGTAACTGGATATTTTATACTTTCTCTTTGGTATTCCCAAACCTATTCAACTTTAAAGTTTAAGTAATGGAATTTTTTCCCGTATTTATTATTTACCTTATAAATTTGACAACAGAGATAATTGTTTTTAACGTATAAGTGTAAAAAAAAACAACTGTTAAAAATCATAAAAACATGCTTCCATATAAATAGAACTTCTAGAAAAAATACATAATATGATTGTATGTTTAACTGAACAAAAAAATATAAGTCAATTATTTGTTTTTATTAGTTGATGATATCTTTTTTTGTACAGAAAGTCAGAGGGAAGCAACATCTCATTCAATAACTGAGTCACAGTTACCAGTACTGTCCAGTGAAAGATCAGGTAGTTTAAGAAAAAATTTTTAGTTGTTTATTTCTTTTGTGAACATATAGTTACTAAAGTAGTTTGGAGAATGAATGTTTTCACAGACTATTACCAGTCTTCTCTCCAACTCTAAAATCATTTCCAAATTGGTTTAGGTTTTCCACAAATCATGAAATTTTAATATGATGTTAGATTAAAAGTCTGATAATGTTTAAATCTACAAAACTAACCCATTTTATGTCAAACTACTTGATAAGGTGTAACTAGTTGAGTGAGTTCTAGAACTATATTATTTTTTCTTCTTAAATAACATGTAATTTTAGAACAAGCATTAAAGCAATAATCCAAGAGATAATAACACTTACATACTAGTTATAATACAATATCTGCAGTTCACCTAAATGTTTCAGGATGTGGATGGCTTTAGTGGTAGAGCCGAGTACAATATCTGCAATTCATCTAAATGTTTCGGGATGTGGATGGCTTTAGTGGTAGAGCTGAGAACTTCTGAGCTGGATATCTGGGTTCTATTCTTTGTGATACTGCAAAATAATCCCCAAACATTAAGCTGTTGGTGCATTATGAGAGTGACAGTCAGTCCCTTAGCATGGGTGGTAGAGTGATGCTGACTGACCACCTTCCTTTTTGTCAGTAGTTCAAAATTAGAAATGATGGCAGTTAGCTTTAGTAGCTTTGCCACAAATACCTAATTGTTTCTTTGCTTTTATAAAATGAACATTTTGAAGAGAACTGAATACATTTAGGTTAGCTTATGTGTTATGAACTATATGAGATCCAGGATTCAGTAAACAAAGCCCTTGGTTTCACTGTATTTACAATCACTGGTGCATAATAAGAATAACTTTTTTGACATATAATTATAAAGAAGCCTAATTTTTCTTTAAAATATTGATCAGAAGGTTTCATTTATTATGAGTAATAAGTATTAAACCCATTGTATATTCATTTATTTATATTTTTCTGCATTTAGTATTGATGATTTTCTTTGCCCATTGAAACAGTTACTTTGTCTAATATGATCTAATGCAAACAAGTTCTAACACAGCAGTCTTGTTGGTGAAATGAAAATTGATATGGTCAAGAGAAAATTTATTTAACAAAGCTTACATCATCTTGTTGCACAAAAAAAAAATCTTTTTCTATCATACTTCAACATCATAAGTCAAAGGAAGTACAAAATGATAACACATGCTTTTCACAAGCTTTAAAAACAAACAATAAAATCACCAAGCCAATCTAATCTTCTCTAATCACCACTGAAATTAAAACCTTTTTGGCTTTTACAGTTGAAAAGAATGGAAAAAGAGCTTTCATGATGTGTTTAGATCAGTAACATCACACCATGATAACCAAGTTTGAGAAACAATAGCTGGCTAAAAACTGATAAAACCACATTTTTATTTAAGTTATGAGGATAAATTAAGGATAATTTTGTTTGAAACTATTATAACTTTCCTCTTAAGGGGTCATGAGTATCATTATTCTCAGAAAATTTCCACTAATGATTTTGTTGGGAGTGTGCTGAAATCTACTCAGAATCAAAATTTTCAGTTTTTTATTTATTTTTATGTATAAAATTAAATAAACCTTTTTTTATTGAATACATTTCAACTCCGAAATTATTTTTTTAATGTGTTGATGAACGACTACAAGTGTATTTTAAGTAATATTTTTAGTTCAGTGGTGCAATCTTACCCTTGAAGCAGGCAGCACCCATCGGACATGAAAGAGTTAAAATATACAAGAGTTATTTTTGTTTATACACAAACAAAATGATTGAAGTAAGATATTTAACCAGGATATACTGTTGGTGATCGTTCATAAAGCTAACAATACCAGAGTTGGTACTATCACACATGAATGTTTGTTGTAGAATATGTGACAGTGAAAAGCTGAAGAAGATGTAAAGGCAACTGCTCTGTCTGTGTCACTAGTTGTATGTGTATATATCTGTATTTATGTAAATAAATACAGCTTTAAAATTGTCAGAACAGCATACAACATTATTTTGTTGGAGGTAGTAAGTAATGGTCGTTTAACTGTTGCATATTTAAAGGGTAGTAAATGCCACTGTCACTTTACTAAACATAACTTTGTTTGGATTTCTGTGTGTTTTGCCCTGTTCCACAAACCAAACAGTCCTAGTTTGATATGAACAAAAAAGTTTGTTTATTGAGAAGGTGTTTGGTTTTCATCATGATAATATTTAAAGATTATATTAAGTCATCATGGAGATATCAGATCTTGATATTTACTAAATTTTAAACTTCCTTTTTTTACACAGAATATCAAAAAATAAACAATTTTCTTAACCAATTATATTGATAGATAGTACTTTTTATTTTAGATCTTGTGACACAATATGGTCCCATACCTTCAGCTGGTAGTACATTATTTCATAGTTTGGGGTTTATTTTGAGTTGTGCTGACCGAACATCAGGTACCAAGAAAGACTCAAATAAACCTTTTCAGGAGAATTTTTCTTCTACTGAAGACTCCAGTGCCACAGAAGGTAAGTATAGATATTTAAATTTTATATTAAAATAAGGTCTATGTTTCAATTATAGTTTGTTGTTTGCTATCAAACTTCTCTAATATGCATTCATTGTTTGTCGTTAGGAGTGCACTGATTTATTGTTTACCTGTTTCGTTGAACCATGGGCTGATACCAAATTAATTAGACTAAAAAAACGTTAAACTAAAAATATGGCAGAACATTCAAAAATCACTTGTATAGCCTTATGAATTACTGAATAGGATACCTCTAAGTTAAATCAGTTGGCATTTTGGTGTTAAGTAACATTGCTCAAAGACAATTATTCAACAAAGTTCTCATTAAGTAATTCTTACTGTTGTGTTAACATTAAATTCAACCTATTTTCATAATTCTTAGAGCTACACTTGAATAACTAGAATACTCTATCATCTTTCTTTAAAACGTTTTACATATACATTTTAATCACCTTTTAATATTTTTCTTCTGTTTCATTATCTACTCTTGAAGGTATGTTTGTCTTATTTCTTGTCTATCAATTGTTTCATTATCTACTCTTGAAGGTATGTTTGTCTTATTTCTTGTCTATCAATTGTTTCATTATCTATTCTTTAAGGTATGTTTGTCTTATTTCTTGTCTATCAATCCTTGGGTTTTTCTTCTGTCTTGTGGATAAAGATAATTGTCTTGCAGGAAATTTCTATTTATTTCATGTATTGTTACATTGTTTGTTCTTTGTACCTCTGTTTAACAGTTGATTAAAAAATACTCAGTAAATATTATTTTTTTAATTATCAGCTCTACTGTGTTTTAAAAAACAACATTCATCATAAACATATTCTGACGTTGTTGAATTATTTTGAGGGAATGTCCTTAGTTAAGAATTATTTGCGAGTTAGAGTAGCTTCAGTTAGATAAATTAAGAATTAACTATCTTTTTAAAAATACAGCAAATTTTGTAAGATTAGCTTTTTTCGGTATCAGTGAGGCATTGTTTTGTTGAATGAAAAATGCTACTTATTTCTTATGGATAATGTAAGTGTATAAAGAGAGAGTTAGGAGCATGTTAATCACATGTGCTTTTATCTATTCATTGTTTTGATTGTTATTATTCCTTAATTTATAAAGCCTCTAGTGTTTTGTTTTAATTTCTGATTTCATTGTGTGGAGAAAGAAAATAATGTCTAATCATTGCATATAATATTAGATCTTAGTAGTGAGGACAAGAGTTCTGTGCCTTTCAACAAGAAATATCTGAAAGAACAATTAGAAGCTGGGGGAGGAATCATTTTAGAGAACTTTCAAGACACTCAAGTATGTAGATCCATAAAATAACTCTTGAAGGTTTTTTTTTTTCTTTCAACTAATTGTTCAGTAATAAGTAAAGTACTTGATTATTGTATAAAATGTTGTTATTAACCCATTAACTGAGGATGACGGATATTTCCATCAGTCAGTTGCACATATAATACTATAACTCAATGCGAATGACGATAATTACCGTTTTATTGTGATTGATGGAAACTCAGTTTTATCTGTGAGTCAGAAAGTGGCAACTGAGCTGCTTCTGCCACAGTTAATGGGTTAATATACATTTCAATCATTAATTTAGTAAAACATTGTATTTCAAACTTTCGTTTTGTATTCCAGATTTATAATTTTTTTATATATAAAAAATACTAATTTTTTCTTCACAGGAACTAGTCAACTTATAAATAACATCTGTTTTTCACTCTACTAGACTAAATATATTTGAAAGTTAAAAAATTGTAATGTTCTTTTAAGTTTATAGTTCAGTTTTTGAATAAATGGTTAGATGATAATTGTTAAAGTATTCATTTTAGGATTTGGTATGATAGAACCATTTATTTCTGAGGTTTAAATTAAACTGGAAATATCTATTGGTATGAAATACTTTTTCAAAATAGTAATTTTTTTAAGTTGATTTTTTATTGTAGAGAATTTTTGGTATGACTAAAAAGGCAGTTTGTGATTCCACTTTTGACAGAGAAAGAGGATGGTTACATAAGTGTACATATCTTTTTTTCTGTAAATGGGTTTACATAGCCTGATTAACCAAAAGTCAGAGTAATCAGTTGCCCGTGAGCCTATAGTGGTTGTGCTTGGTTGTTGTTTTTTTTAATAGCCTTCTCATATAATTTTTCACTTTGGAAATTGTAATATTTTGAAATCCTTATATTTGGTGAAATACTGTTTTTTGATGGGTAAAACTTCTGTGCCAAGTAAAAGGGAGCCTTCTGTGGTCTTAATCTGGCTTTGCAAATATAGTAAGCTGATATTTCTTTCAGTGGAGGAGAATATGTAAAAAAAAAAAGGCAGGATATCATTTTCTTCAGACTTTATCAATTTTAGATCCTCAAATATTTTAAATAAGAGATATCTTAGACCCTCAAACTCTGAAGCCTAGAATAATTTTTTTTT